GTAAGGTCCAGTTCTGGAGCCGGAATTGAAGCCGGAACCATGGCTGCTGAGGCCGGAACTGGGGCCGGAACCATGGCTGCTGGGGCCAGAACTGGGGCCGGAACCATGGCTGCTGGGGCCAGAACTGGGGCTGGGACCATGGCTGCTGGGGCCAGAACTGGGTCTGGAACCATGGCGGCTGGGGCCAGAACAGGGGCCGGAACCATGATTGCTGGGGCCGGAACCATGGCTGCTGGGGCCAGAACTGGGGCCGGAACCATGGCTGCTGGGGCCAGAACCGGGTCTGGAACCATGGCTGCTGGGGCCAGAACAGGGGCCGGAACCATGGCTGCTGGGGCCAGAACTGGGGCTGGAACCATGGCTGCTGGGGCCTGTACTGGAGCCCAAAGCATGGCCTCCGGGGCTAGGGCTGCTAGCCTGGACCTGCGACTCCTTCTCTTAAGAGCCTTTTGGAGGCTCTGTGGACCTCCAAGAGCCAGACGAGTTCCAGAGAATGGCTCCTGGACAGGAGCAGGAACTGGGGAAGAAGCAGAGGCCGACTCCAGACGGAACACTCCGAGGCGTACGGCGCCAGGTTGGGAGTCAGGGTGCTAGCATGCCTGGGGCTAGCAGGCCGGGAATCACACACCGAGAGGAAGTCCAAAATCCAGTCAGGTAAGAACTTCACTAAACCTGGGTTCTCCATAGCCATCTGGTTTGCCGCAGCCATAGCAGCCTCTCGCTGCAGAACCCGTACTGCTCCTATCCATCGATGAGCGCAGACAGACAAAGAAAAGGTAAAATCCAATAGTTCCAGCTCAAACGGATCTGCTGGGCCCATATCTCAGGTCGGTTCGTAATATTACGGTGTGTGCAGGAAGCAGGACCCAAATGCAGATTCAAGTGTCAAAAATAACTCCTTTATTTCAAGGCTATACTAATCACAAAGACAGAACAGAACACTCACCGAAGACCATATCAAAACATAAGACGAACCGACAAAGACAGACAGAAAAACCAGAACTTAAATACACACAAGACTAATCATGCAAACAAGACACAGGTGAGTAGGGAGGAGAAAACACAGGGACACCAGGTGAACACAATCGGGTAATCAGGGAGGGAAAACAGACAGAAGGCAACAGGCAAAACAGGAGGTGAACACTTTCCAAAACAAAACAGGAAACCAAAGACAGAAAAAGACAAGACAAAACACAACACAGACAGATCTTGACAGTATCACTCCTGTGGTCAATTATATTTCCAGGTAACCTGTTAGATAAAATCATCACTCCAGCCGAATGTGATGTTCCATGGCTGAAAAAAACGTTGTCTCCCCATTAGGGGTGTAACGGTTCACAGAAGTCACGGTTCGGTTCGTACCTCGGTTTGGGGGTCACGGTTCGGTACGGTTTCGGTACAACAAGGAAAAGCAAAGAAAAGTCCCAAATGCATAATTTTTTTTTGCTGTTATTTATTTTTAACAGTCGTGCAAGTTTTGTTTTGAAAATAAGGAACTCTAACATTTGGAATCGTTAACTGTATTACACAGTTAAAAACAAACCACAAACAGTAACACACACTCAGATGGCCATAGTATTTATAATGGCTGACAAAAAGGTTAAATAAGCTGTACAACTAAAAAGAATCTCTTGAAAATATTAAAATAAATAATAAGAAAGTGTTTCAATCACAATCAATAAAAGGCAATACAGAACTGTATAAATCTCCTGATGTCAAAATATAAAATAAATACAATAATATAAAACAAAATAAAATCTACCTTTAGGAGCAATGTCTAACATGTGTAATTAACTTGTGAGTGTGTGAGGCCATTATGCCTAAATAAAGGTACTCAAGCTATACTCTATTTTCAAGTTTTTCTTCAAAAAGATGAGTTTGTCTACGTTGTCAGTAGTGAGGGCAGATCTGTTGGCGGTAACTATCAACTATGTCACCTGCCGTCGAGAAAACCCTCTCGCTGGGGACTACCACTAGCATACCGCACCGCTGTCGAACAACGCCGACACACCGTCCTCGTCCGATCCACAACTCGCACCCCATCATTGTTGTAGTCCACAGGGAACCCGAAATGTTCCCACACACCTGATTTAAAAGAAGCAGGTGGGTTCTATCTCCTGTGCGTTGTGTGAACTCGCCATAACTTTTCTTCTTCATATATTGTGTTCGTTTTGTTGTGTTTTGTTCTTGTTCTTCATTTGTTATTTACGGGCGGCTGGCTTTTAGGCGCAATACCACCCCCTGGATTATATATAGTGTAATACTGCCCTGAGTGACAGACTTTTTTCCCACTCGTAAAAAAAGGCGTATTCGCCGTGTGACTGCATGTGTCGAACCGTGACGTCTGAACCGTGACGGTACGGGACGAATACGGATACCGTTACACCCCTACTCCCCATTGTACTTTCCAGAACTTAGTATTCTTTCACACACAGTGACGTCACGAGCTACCCACAATGCAACGCGCGCCATATATATATATATAAATACGCCATTTTCCTGGAGGTGCTAATATCCTGGAGGTGCTAATATAAACAGCTAGCTAACGTATCCAGGCAGAGCGCACTAGGTTTTTTTTCTGAATTAACGACCGAAGAAATCGCTGCATGTCTTCGGATTACATCTCTGGACTTGAGGGGTGTGCTCTAGGTCGTTACCAGCGTAAACTAGAGCTGTGTGGGTTGTCCGATTGCCCTTACAGATTGCCTGCAGATGTATGGAAAAACGACTCTCGAAAGTGGCCTTCGGTCGATTTAGGCAGCATCTACGTCTATCTTCTGGAAACACCAGGTGAATACCCCACTTGTCACAATAATATTATCATGCCAATGCATATATGTGGTATTTTAGAGTTGACTATATTGATTAAGGCAATAGACTATGATATTCTGGTTGCACCTCATGTGAAATGGCGGATACCGGAAGTACAGTGTCGCCCTCGGCCCAAAACCCGTATGTGTGTGTGAAAGAATCTGCCTCTGCAGAATGAGTTTCTTGCAGAAAAACACAATTTGCCTTTTGTTCCTTACAAAAAAGAAAAATTGCCTTACGTTTCACATTGTTTTTTAGCCCCCTAGCATTTCAGGATATGAACGATAACATTGAAAGAGCAAAGATAGAAACCTTAAGAAAATGCGCAAAGGAATGCTATATCGATGCGCAGGAGTGAGTAATGTAGCCCTTAACAAACATATTTAGTGCAATAGCTCACAACATTTTGAATATAACCTGAGACAAGTCCAATCCTAAAAAAAAAAATAAACACTCAAACTGAGAACTTCAGCATACCTACTGAGGACCGAAAACCTGCTCCCTGTCCCTCCAGTTAATTACTGCGGTGTTTTTCACGTTATTCCGGGGTCCACTCTTTTGTTGTCAATCAGCGCGAAGCCTTCCTTCAGAAAAGCTCTCTTCCCCTTTCTCCTGGCTTCTTGAACCAGTGGCCACAGCTTGGAGCGTGCCTCCCGGTCCTCCTTGGAGAAATCCTCTTTGAAACGAATGTGCATCTCACTGCAGACTCTCGCATCTTTGGACTTTTTCCAGATCTCGTCACGAACAGTCCTCATCCCGAACTGAATGATGATTGACCTCGGTGTGTTGTTGGAAGTAGCTGCATTACCCTTCATACTATTAACAGTGTTGGTTATTCTCGCGTCCAGGAGAGAAGCTTTAAAAGGAGACTAAATGGAGTCTCTGAGATGGTTTCAAATTGGTACTTTAATTAAAAATAAAGGCGCGGGTATGTTTACAAGCAGAATATTGTTCAGACAGAAACAGCTGTGTTCTGGCTCTCGTGAGCGGAGGGAAGAGAGAGCCCGAACCGCTCTGGTCCAGCTGTTATATCCTCTGCTGACTCCTTCCTGCGGGCCGGCTCTCCACGTTTTAATGTCCGTTGTTATGTTAAACAGAGGATTCAGACTTTGTACATTCAATATATACTTAAACACTCCTCTTCTCCTCATATTCTCTTTCATCCCTGCTGAAAAAACCAGCTTGGACCAGCATGGACTTCAAGCTGGTCCATGCTGGTCCAAGCTGGTCCATGCTGGTCTACCAGCATAATGACCAGCATGGACCAGCATGGACACCAGCATGGACCAGCATGGACACCAGCATGGACCAGCATGGACACCAGCATGGACTGCTGGTCATTATGCTGGTCTGCCGGTGCCAAAAACCGTTATACCAGCATGGACCACCATGAACTTCATGCTGGTCCATGCTGTAACATGGTATGAAAAAAAAATCTATTATTATTAAGATGGCATGAAATACAAAAACATACCAATATTTCAGTTTATATACATTTACAGAACATAAATAACTGCAAATTCATAGAATCTCTATATTAAATACATTTATTCACTCACACCCAAAAGATTACCCTGTTAAAAAACACAATATTAGATCTATCTTGCAGCATAAAATAATTATGACATTGACTTCAAAATGTAGCTTTTTACTATTTTCGACCATATATAGCAATTTCTCATGTTTGTTTTTACATATACAAATGCATTTTGTTTTTGCAAATCATTGATCTATTCCACAAAGAAAAAATACCCCACAAGCAATGGCATTATGTAAACAAACATTTAAAGAGTTAAAATTCTGATAAATGTAGAATTTCTTTGAAAGAATTGCAATGATATACGGTTCAAATAAGGAGTAATAGCATATAGAAAGCTTATATTCTTGCAATGCTATAATGCATTTTTCAACAAAACAACAAAAATGTGTGAGTTTTAACAACATGTTTATTTATTGACTTTTCATTCCTGTATGGCAATATTCATTTTGCACAGAAAAAAACGTTTGCCTAAAATTTATGACCAACTAAGATATGCTAGTTACATTTGTTATGAGTTTTGGCTAAAATGGTAGCGTTAAGGTAATAGTTCTCCAACTAGCAATTGCTAGTTGGAGAACCATTTAGCTAGTCAGCGGCAAGCAAAATACTTGGCCGCTGAGTTAAACAAGCTAACGTTCGAGGTATGCTAGCGTTAGCTGCAAGCTCGCGTTAGCTGCATTAAGAATGCAGGTTCTGCATACTAAATAGTACAATATTTTACTCAGAAGTAGTTCTCAGAAATAGCCAGAAATGGACACCCTCGGGTAAAGTAAATCTACCCTGAAAACAAAGCACTTCGATAAAATGCAATCAGTTACTGTTGTATTATACTCTGGTGCTGGTCCATTAACTGCTATCCGCAGACATGCAGATGTAATGTTTGAGGACCTGGAATGACATATTATAAATGTTTCAGTTCAAGGAAAACAAATATTGAAATTAAAAGTAAGAAGGGATGTATTTACATCTCTGACAAATCTGGCCCACATCTCTTCTCGGGGGCGCTCCAGAATTCCGTGTCCCCTCCTGATCCTCTCCTCCTCTCCGGCAATGCTAAAGGCCCCAAGTCCACCTGGGTTGTCCAGGTCTTGGTGTAGGCGAGCAAGGAACGTTCCGGGGAGTGGGGTGGCACCTAAATGTGGAAAAAAATAACAATATAATAGGATGGATAATGCAAATAACTGGGAGCATCAAATGCATTTATTTGTAATCTACCTGCTTCTTTATGTAGAATTTCTATTATAGGGCTCTGGATGACCCACACAGCAACCACATCAAACGATCAATTAAGCAAAAATGTTTGCCTACGTTCAGGGGCGGATCTAGACAAATATTCATGGGGTGGCAAGAGGGTGGCAGGAGATTTTGAGGGGTGGCATCCCCTGACAGAAGTATATGCTGATTTAAATCGCAATCATATCAATCAATTAGGGGTGTAACGGTACACGTACCCGTACTGAAATTATTCGGTACGGGCCCTTCGGTTCGGTACACGTGTGTACCGAACGAATATAGCGTTAAATGTAAAAAATTGAGAACATGAACAACTTTCTGGAAGTAATCTATATCATAGAGCGACCAAGTCATTTCATTGGACGAGAGGCATACTATGAAAGCTGGTCACAGGGATGCGTTCAATTGTAGTCAGTAATTTGAGGAACTGTCGAAATGGCGAACGCAGATAAAGTTGAGCTGAAAATCCTCCAGCATCATTGAAGTCTCCGGTTTGGGAACATTTTGATTTCGCAGTTACGTACAAGGATGAAGGACAAAGACAAGTGGACCGAACCAAAGCTGTTTGTCGGCATTGTTCAACTAACATTGGTTACGCGGCTGGCAATACATCACACTCATTTGAAAAGGCATCACCCGAATGTGAATATCACCGGTACCAAAAGAAAAAAGACTGAAGTGCAAACCCAACTCCCACTAGCATGTAAGCCTCCACCACTCGCAAAGAGTTCAGACCGAGCCAAAGCTATTACAAACGCCAAATATCCTTATGTTGCCATGTTAGCAAAGCGCTACCTGGCTGTATCTGCTGCCACTGTCCCTAGAGAGGGTGTTCTCCACAGCAGGAGACATTGTTAGTGCCAGCAGATCTGCCCTTTCAGCAAGCAATGTGGACAAGTTCATCTTTCTTTAAACAACAGGAAAATACAATGACAAGCAAGTCCTAATGTCAAGCTGGCTGCTTAGGTACAGTACAGTTCAAATACAGATTATTTCAGTTCATCGAAATGCTGCACCTTAATGTTTATTTTACTATATTTTGTATTTATTTGAATACATTAGTCACATTTTAATAATAATTTTAAAAAAATATTTAATGTTTTGTGATATTTTTTTCTGCTGTACCGAAAACGTACTGAACCGAACCGTGACCTAAAAACTGAGGTACGTACCGAACCGAAATGTTTGTGAACCGTTACACCCCTACAATCAATGTTAACTTGGAAAGCCACAATATTAATATTTGAACTCAATCACATAGGTGATATTATTGTGGCACATCAGTAAAGCCTTACAAGGTGGCAGACGTAATTTAATGAATTGTACTCTTAGACCAAAAGGGGTACCAAATCTATGCAGACTGCTGCAATAAGTACATTAATTACTGTCTCATCGATGTTTGTCTGAATGAATATGATACTATTAACAATCATATTATTCCTATCAGCTGTCAATCACTGTTAATAAATAATAATAATAATAATAGATGTAATTTGTTAGCGTTTTTACAGGTGCTCAAAGACGCTTTACAGATATAGTGAAGAACTGTTATGATTCACATATTCATTTATTATTGAATAAATTATATTTTTTGGAGGAGTTAATGATGAATGTTCATCAAGATGCTTGCTCACCCTCCTTCAAATTTGAAAAACAAGTAATTATATCATTATTGATATACAGTTACAACCTTGACTTTACATCAGAAAGAACAAACATTAAAGAAGTGACTAACTGCATCAGTTAGGGTTAAAAAACGTGTATTCAGCTAAAACATCGCTGCAGTTATTATCCAGTGGAAGGTCCTTACCTACTGGCCTAGTTAAATCAAAGTGGTTACTTTCTGTTGGCTGGGCAGTGTAGTTTTACACACCGTCTTATTTTACTTTCTCAGGACTTAAAACTGTTTTTTGGGGGCAGACCCCCACAAAGAAGAACATATATACACGCATACAAGGTCATCATCTTAACAGTTTGTTATTCTCATCGAGTCGTCCGTGAGCAGAGCATCAAGTTGGCATGTCTATTACAGCTGAATGCGATTACTATTTTGTTCAGCAAAACGCCTCACAAACTTATTAAGATCAACAGCTGTAGTGCGTTTTGATTCAATGCTGAGTACAGCCAAACTTGACATTCTCTTCTCTGTCAGTGTAGACCGCAACTACCTCATTCCTTCAGTGCTTGGGTCCGAAAGGCTTCTCGTTTTGCGCCGTCCCCCCGTTCAAGTGAATTCGCCACCAATCATATTTCCACTCTCGCGCCAGGACCGGGGGAGGGGTTACATGACGTGCATCTTGTGCTGCATTCAATTGCACTCGGACATTAGAGAGTTTCTCTCATAAATGTCCGATGAGCCACAACTTTTCTTTCAAAACAAAGATGCCAACTGGGGTGGCAGCTGGGGTGGCAAGGCTATTGTTTAGGGTGGCAGTTGCCACCCCATGCCACCCCGGTAGATCCGCCCCTGCCTACGTTAAATAGTTGGACGACGGAGTTAAAGAAATCGTTCCAATGTCTTATATTAAGGACTCCAGAAAAACAGTGCCTTCAAATGGGGAATCCCAATCCATCTGCTGGGCAATGAAAAAAAACATCAGAAAACATGTATTTAAGAATGCAGGTTCTGCATACAATGTGAGTGAATACAGAAATGTATGACAACCCAAAGCACAAAGGGAATTGTGATTGCATTTACCTCAACATTTGAGACATAACTTGTACGTGGAGACATGGCAGGGCTCGACAGTAACGGTTGCCAGGTTGCCATTGGCAACCATTCAGAAAAAATGTAAACCACTTCTTGGCCATCAGTGGCAACCAGTTTTTAACATAAAGAAATAAGGACAGCAAACAGCAAAATGTGCATCCCAAAATAGATAAATGTTAATTATTTGTTGTATTAAGAGTGATATTTAATTAGTTGCACGTGCATTGGTGTGATTACGGAGCCATAAAGCGATGCACGTTTACTCGTGTGTGTTTATTTTACAAAAAATGGCGAAGCAAATTAAGTTGTTTGACTGTGGGGTAAAAGGTTCGGCCAACCCGTCAACATCTCAAACGAATGTTCAAAGTGATTCAACTGATAAAGCGCAAGATGAACCCGGACGAAAAGCAAAGAGGAATGTTGTCCATTCACTTCTGGTAAAAGTTCCTTCAAAATAAGAGTCCCGATCTTATTACTACCAAAATAAAAGTGCAAAACGAAACTTTACCATTTAAATATTGGCATAAAATGATAATCACTTCTATACAAAGGTAACACATTTTAAATATAGTTAGACATATTAAAGGTGATTTACAGCATTAATAATTAATATCTAATTCTTAGCTGTGAATGGTTTTCATTTATTTAACATTAGAAATGTATTAGTCTGGCCAATCCAAGACTTCAATGCTGAAGGGCCAATGGATCTATGGTGGGGGTCAGCACAAAGGTCAAGAAAACCCACATTTGAAAGGAAGACAACGGATGACCAAGAAACTAGTGACTTGCTCAATTCATTTGTGAGGGATCTGTGAAGAACATGACAACAGCTGCACTACTGGTATTTTGTATACCAGCAATTGAGGGTGGACAACTTTACTACCACTTAGGTTTAAAATAATTGTGTTAATTACTTATTGTAAAGCCTTTGAACATTATTTTGTGTCACATGTTCATTATTAAGTTGATGTATAACTGTATAGTATCTTAATTATTTAAAATACAAGGTGACTAAAAATGGCAACCGTATTTTCAGTTTTGGGAACCAAAAGCTGATGCCTGGTTGCCAGCCTGGCAACCACTTTTAAAAGTTAGCGTTGAGCCCTACATGGTCTGCACAGGATAACGAAAACGTGGTTTTGTCCAGTCCGAAATAATGTCTTACATAAATTGAAACAGCATAATCCTCGCTCACCTCAACATCTGCAACGTGTGACCCTGATTTGTTTTTGAAGTCATCTGCCACCTTAAAATGACATCACCAGGTAAGAATGAAAAATAATAATTACAGAATTGATACTTTGAAAGGTTTAACACAAAAATATCATGAATTAACTTACATCAAAATGTCCACTTTTCAGTTTAGCTCAGCGTTGATTGTACTGTGAGGCTCCAAGTACAATTTGTACTTCCGTTTTGGCATTCTAAAATTTAAAAAAGAACATGGGTATCATTAACAGACTGACTAATGAATGGCAATTTCACCAATAATAGGTTGAAATTATTCTACTGACAGTATAAACCGAACAATTTAAATTAACGAGCAGTTTTTACTAACTCGGACTATAGCACCAGTGTAAGGTGACACTCAATTGTTGGTTTTAAAAAAGGTACTTGGAATAATCCACACTTTTAAAAAAAAAAAATTTGTGAAGGTTCTATATTATTAATCCAGATGTGAGAGACACAGCTACAGCTCCATCAGAACAGGAGAGGAAAATAATATGAGATATACAGCTGGGGGGGGGGGCATTGGGGGTCATTAAATGTTATATTATGGAGCCAGGGAGGGGGGTACATATTCAGACGAAACACAACATTTACAAGATTACAATTGTCATTTTAAATGAGAAAAAACAATGAATATTTTTAGATAAAAGTTATTTTTTTGCCAAAAAAGAAACTTGGATATTCTAAAATTATTAGTATAATTTTATTTTTAAACCTTATCTGTGTTGCTAGAGTTCAAAAGATTGCAATCATTATATATCTATATACTACGTCTACTGCACACAGACAACATCTGTAAGAGAAATGCAGTCTATGGTATTTACCAACACACTCTCACTCCCTAAGCGTCCAGGAGCGACGTTTGGTCAGTGTCCGTGGCGTCCAGTTGTGACGCTCCTAGGCTCCTTCAGCGTCATAAAGGGACGCAAATAGCTTTCAACTGATTGCAATGTATTCCCATCTGCGGCGGGATTTGACGCTCATGGAAGCACGGCATTCGTTTGTGTCGGCTGCCCTTAAAAGCAATGTGAGCGTCCATTCCCATTGGATAACGGAGAATTGTACACCCGGAAGTAAGTATTCCCCTTACT